AACATCTTATATCCCTTCATCTCAAGATGCTGTGCATTCCTGCAGATTTTATCTTTGATCTGGGGGAGTCACAGAGCTCTGAGTGGTGTCCCTCGTGCCAGGACACTGGAAGAGTCCTGCTACAGACAGAGGCTTCTAAATACATCCCCACCCCCATTCTAGGAGCTTCTGATTGTTCAGGGCCCAGAAGCAGAAAGCAAGCTTGTTTGACGGAAGCCGAAGACAAACACCGGGCATCTAGGACAGAGCTGATACCCACGCTCCTTCCTCCGCTTGTCAGTGCTCCGCACAGGCTTCAGATCCACCTGGGAAAGGGTGAACACTTCCCCTGGAGGATGCTGATTATTTATTACAGATTTCCTTGATGATGATGGGACTGGGCTGCACTATATTTTTGCCAAAACTGATTTTTGTGAATGTGACTTATGACATCAAATCACTTCCAGTTGTACATGCATCCTGGCCTCATCTGTCCTTTGTTTCTTGACCCCAATGACCCACAAAAGGCCATAACTCCAGGGAATGGGAAGTCACTTGTTCACTAACAGTTAACTCATTCACTCTATTAACTGCCCATCTACTGGTGGTCCTGTGACAGCTTTGTCTGTGAGACTAAAATGTACTCTTGAACCTCAATAAAGAAGCGGCCACATGTTTAGGGGCAATAGCTAAATCACTCCAATACTGAACCCGACCAGTCTGAAATATCCCCTTTGGAAGGAAGTCTCATTGCATACCACGAGGGTTTAGAATTGGTCTTGGCTTCAGAGGTCTTGAGCAGTCAGCACACGCCCTCAGCATGAGTCATTTGATTCATTTCTTTAGGAAAAAGAGAACGCCAACTTTCTAAAAGTGGATAGAAAGCTAGAAGATTAATGTCAAAAACCAACACACACACCATTTTCCACTGCACTGCTGCCCCTCCACCAGCCTCTGCCCTTTGTTTTAACTGGAAGCAGGTGATCACAGATATCTGGGCAAGAGACTCTGAGTGTCAAATTCTGCCACTGCCCTTGACTCTTTGGGCCTCAGTCTACCCCACATGGAGGATGGGGAGAAAGGCACTACAAGTTCTGATAAGAAGGCATTAGTTCTCTTCTTTTGCTCCAAGAAAAGACAGCTGACCAGGTCTGGGAAACTCAGGACTGAGGCAGGTACAGGAATTCAAGGGCGCTAGAGGAATAGCAGGCTGGGGCAGACTTTGGGGCTTTGCCCAGCAGTACCTGGAAGCCATTCCTCTTTTGAAAAATCATTGCAAAGGAGCCTTCCAAATCCTGATCCTGCCTGTAGTAACAAGCTAGTCACCACTACCTGTAAGCAGGCAACCTTCCCTAACCCAAAAGGCCAACTTTCCTGCTCAAACTGCAGGGGAGCCCTGACCAGCAAACATTTGCAGAGACATTCCCTGGGCAGCTGACAGCATTTCAAGCCACATCTGACAGGTTACGACTGCTCCTTGTAGCTCGGGGGTCAGGGGGAGCTGGCATTTGAAGCTCCTTCTGCAAACGAGAGACAGGCGAGCAGGCAGGTTGTTGCTGGAGTTTGATGTGCAACGTGCCACTTGCCCAAACACTGATCACTCACTGACATTTCATGGCTCGTCTCTAATCGCAGGCTCCAGGATCAGGCAGTTCACTCCAGAGCTGGAGGGAATAACTGAACAGCACAAACTGGATTTTCACAAAGACAGAATCATTGCAAAGAGCCTCTCTCTGCCAGGGCTCCAGGCTGGGTGTTTAGCTAAGCTACTTGGCCCAGGCTGGGGATGGCTTATTTCTCTCAATCACTAAGCTCTCTGCAACCCCTTCACTCAAATCCCGGAAGGGTTGCACAGACTGGAATCTCACCATTCCGTCTCAGCTGGAGTCCTCAGAGGCTCTTCTCTCTTATCCGTGATGCTGAGCACCCAGTGTGTGTCCTGTGCCTGGTGAAGGTAGACAGGCATTGTTTCTACCTCTAGGACCACACACACTCTTAAGTCTGCCACTTAAGGCGGACATGGGCAAGAAGGCACTTACAGTAGCAAGTGTCCTGCAAGCCTGGCATTGCCTGAGCACCTGCTTACTTTCCAAGCTTTGGCTGAATGTCTCCTCTTGGACTGTCCTCACATCCGCCCTCTCCTCGTCTCCTGTGCCTCTCCCCTCACCGTCACAGCCACCCGTAGGGCAACCTCTTAGTTCTTCAAACTCATCATCCTGCCTTACTTGGCCTATGCTATTTCCTCTATCTAGAACACTCTACCAATGCCCCCTCTCAGAGTTTAAAGGACACCTCCTCAGAAAGGCCTTCTCAGCAGGCAACCCTCTCTAACACAAAAACCAACTTTCCTGCTCAAACTGTAGGGGGTCCCTGACCAGCAAACATTTGCAGAGACATTCCCTGGGCAACTGGCAGCATCTCAAGCCACATCTGACAGGTTATGACTGCTTCCTGTAGCTCGGGGGTCAGGGGGAGCTGGCATTTGAAGCTATAAAGCACTCTGTCTCTCTTTCAGGGCACCACATGTATTTGATTGGTACCAGTTACCAAAATTTGAAGTTACCTATTTGTTTGTTTGGTCAGTTATTTCTGTCTGTCTCCCCTACCAGAGTGTAACCTCCAAGTGAGCAGGGATGGCGTCGGTCTGGTTCCCCACTGCCCTTCCATGCGCTGCACAGTGCCTAGAACAATGACAAGTGTCCAAGGGATAGTTGCTGGACAAACGAATGAAGGATCTGCCTAGAGTAGGTGATTACGGAGACAGACTCTGGGGGGCTTTGCTGTTGATGGTGAAGGGTCTCAGCTTAGTTGCGACTGCAAGAGGAAAGCTATCCATACATTTGAAGTGGGGGAGACGTACAAACAGACTTTTAATGCAGAATTACCCTCACCTCTTATGTCATGTGGAAATGGATTTGGGGGGCCGGGGAAAGGCAGACTGGAGGTAAAGAGTCCCATTAGGAGGTGTCTATAAAAACCAAAGTCCTCACTACTCAAAGTGTGGTCCGTGGACCAGCAGCATGGACGTCACCTGGGAAATTGTTAGAAATGCAGAATCTCAGGCGTCACATCAGACCTTCTCTGTCATAATCTGCATTTTAACAGAATCTGCAGGCAACTGTTCACATACCTAGAAGCTGGGCTTTAGCTGAAAGACAATGATGGCCTGATCTGCCTTCGGGGAGTGGGGGACAGATCTGAGTCATCAATGTTATTATAAAGGCACTAGTCCAGACAGTGCAGGGTGTTAGAAGCAAGCCTGCGGTTCCTTCGGGGTCAGGGAGAGATGCGAAGCAGGGATGGTAGGCACACTCAGCCAAGCTGGGCTGAGCGACTGAGCCAGGATGTTCCGGCTGTGACCCTGGGCAGAGACGCTGTAATTCACACTGCAGGTCTGACGTGGGGGAGGTATGGCTTACTGACTCTGGCCATGAAGAAGCGCCAGCTTTTTTATTTCCACTATATCCTAAGTTTCCCCAGCACCTGGCACAGAGCCTGGTGCATAAGAAGGGCTCTAGTGATACCTGTTGAAAGAACAAAGGAACTACCAAGCAGTAATTTTGATACTGATATCCTAAAGCAGCTTACACGGGTCTGGGTGCAAGCTGGATGAACCTTCTGGCTTCCTGTTTTGTTACATATATTCCCTTTGGTTAGAAAACTGTGAAAATCCTAGAGAATACACATCTACTTTCAGTGAATAAAAGTACGTGACTCACTCTTTTGGTGAATAATAATACATGATTATTATTATTACTTGTAATAATCCTAATAAGCTTCTGAGGACAGCAGGCAGCGAGGGACCCCCAGGCCTATGCAGTCTCCACGGTGTAAAGGTCAGGATGGTGAGGGGATCGCAGAGAACAGAAGCTGTGTGTGCAGTGGGGGAGGGACAGAGGTGGGACCAGCGTAAAGGCCCAAGCCCAAGGACCACAAGGCAACGTGGCCACAAGTGACCAGGGAGTCACCAGTTACAACTCTCATCAGCCCCAGACTCCCTTCTGCAAATGATCCCTACAGAGAAAACAAGAAGAGAGATAAAGGCGGTGCAGCTCTGGCTGGAGGGGATGGGAGAGTCAGAGACCCACTCCTCACCCCCCACCCTGTCTCAGACACGCACACACAACTCTCCACGCCTAGCACTAAGCGTGTGGGAGCAGGTGCTGATTTATATTTGTTGAATAAGAGAATAAGCAAAGCCGTGTTGACTCTGTGGTTTCTTTCGTTCATTAGCCCACCGAAATGTACCCATTCCCAAACACAAATGGACAACCTTAGCCCGAGGACACTGTCTGTAGTTCCAAGAACAAATGGTCACCTCCTTCCTCCACCCTAGTGATCCCTGCCTCCCTGCCTGCAATTCCTTTTATTAGAGCCCAGATGAAATGCTCCTCCTCCTTGCTCCACTAAGAATAAACAGACCCACTTTATGCCTAGTCCTTTTTTCTATGAAACCATTTTCTCTTCACTGGTTTGAGTTAAAATGACCTGTCACCATACTAGCAACCCTGCCCCCCCGCATTAGACTGTAAGCCCTGAAGTCCCCAGAGAAAGGAACAGCAGCCTCTCTAGCCCCAGGACCTGGTGTCGTGCTGGATACATCCTAGATACACAATAAATGAAGCTTAAATGTGTGCCGACATCATTCACCTCCCTATCACCATGCTGTCTGTAAGGCAGGCATCCTGGGCCTCCCTCACATCTTTGCTCCCCGTCAGCTGAGCTTCGGAACAGCTTACTTCCTCACCTCCTCCAGGAAGCTGGCCTAGATTCACTTCAGGATCACACACCACTCTCAGAATCACACTTCCCCTAAGCCCTTGATCACTCCAGTTACATGGGAGAGAATACTTTTATCTTGTCTCCTAAGCCAAAGAGTCTGTTCACGTGGCAGCTTCTCAAGGGCAAGCCCCGAAGTCCACCGAGATTCACAGGCCCCAGTTTTGGCCCAGAGAGCCTTGTCAGAACAAACAGACACAGAGTACTTTTTGATGACAAAAAAGAGAACGAAGAAGACCAACCTTGGACGTATAGGTGTGGCCGTCGGAGCCGCAGATCATGGCTGACTGTGCCGTGGGACAGGGCTTGCACTTGACCAGATTCGAAGGTCCAACCCAGTGTCTGTGGGCTACATTCCCCTTCTTTTGCCTGAGGATGAAAAAAAGAGGGCCTAAGGTAACTGAAGCTCCAGTCTCCATGGTCTTTCCTCCAGGTTACCTGGATAAAGGCCAAATAAATAAGGGCTGGTCAAACAGCCAGGCACATCCTGAAGGCCCCTGGCCAGCACCCCCATTTGTTCCAACTTGCTGACAGGGGGCAGGAGACAGTTCCAGAAGCCTAGGCTCAACCCACCAGATGGATGGAGGAAAGCAATGTGGCCATTAAAAATGTTATAAACACATGACTTATTGACATGAAGAGACATTCACAACACACTAAAAAGACAATGAGAGAATGACTCCGTCAGCTTCCCCAGCACCCCATCTGGGGTGTGGCAGATCACAGGTGCCCCCAAACAGCACCCAGAGCCTCAGACGCCTCCAGGGCCGACCAGCAGCCTCCGAGTGGGAGGGTGCAGAGACAACTCAGAGAACAGTCTAGATAGAAATGCATCTCCAAACACAACCAAATGACTTTATCACAGCTGTGGAAAACCATCTCTGGATACGTTTTAAAGCAATTTCAGTCCGGCTTTCAATTTGCCATTCGATAGCCCGCTTCTGAGGTGATGTCACTTTCAACAGCTAAAATCATCATAATTCTACTCTTTCATTCCCGCTCCAGTCTCCGCCTACCCTAACCTTTGTCATAATGATAAATGGTGCTATTAGGATGGCTTATGTTGACGGAAGAAACCCCATCACCATATCATAAACCACCGAAATAAAGGCCTGCAGTTACGGCCTCCCTTTCTCTCTTAGTTGAGGCTGCTTTCCCAGCAAACCACTGAGAGCCACTCTCCCAGCTGAGGGGTGAGTTCTGGGTGGAGGACAAGTGAGTGTGAGCTGCCCATCAATCAGGCGGGTACTGTGCCCTTGAAGTGCTTTGCTCTGGCAGTCCTGCAAGGTGCTTATTCGGGCGCTAGAGTCAGAAAACACAGGTTCAAAAGTCAGCTCTGCCTCGTACAGTGTGATTGCAGCAGGATATCTCACCCTGTAAATCTCAGTTTCCTTATCTGTAAAATGGGGCTGGGTGAGGGGCTGGGAATAGTATCTCTTTCAAGGGGATGGTATGAGGATTGAAATGAGCTGATACATGTAAACGACTCAGTATAATGCCTGGAAAATAGGAAGCAACAAAATTGGTACCTGTTGTTATCATTATTATTTGCCCCAGTAGATGGAGGTTTAAGTACCGTTGCCATAGAAATATGACTTAATTCTAAAGCCCTAGCTCTGGAATGGTGCTGAACTCCCCAGAACTCATGGGCCCCAAGGAGGACATCTTTTCTGCCAGGTGTGGAATGGATCTCCAGCTCCTCAGGAATCGGGGTTTGGCATCTGACATAACCTACCCTCTTCCAAAGAAACGGCACTCACCAACTTGGTTCTTATCCTACCTCAAACCTGCCCCAGCGATTTGGGGGAGGCAGTAAGAGCAGGAAGGTCTGTTTGGGGAACTGCCTTGGAGCCTGACATCGAGAGGAGGACCACATACCCACAGCACAACACTTGCAGCCGTCAGGGATCCCAGGCTGGACGGGTTGTAGGGCTGAGCCTGTCTGACCAATAAACTGGTAGGGGAAGTCCTACGAGGGCACTTGGAGATGGCCTGGTCCAGATGACTCATTTTCCTAACGGAAGCAACTAAAGCCAAGCTGGTGAAGAGCCTTGCCCACAGTGATGGAGACAACGGGTGGCTAGGTGCGTGGTAACATTCCCACAGCTGCAGTGTGTCCAGGGATGACTCTTCTTGAACCCATCTCAGTCCCACCTAGATGAGTAGCCGGAAAATCTGCTGGGGCACCTGCATGTTTGTCACTGGGGCTCCTCTCTCCAACGTCTGCCCGCTTCCAGAGCAGCTACCCACGTTGTCCCTGCCTCTCTGTCTGGAATAAAAACATCTACTGTTTGCGTTTCTAAATCACATGGACATGAGGTCTCCTATTATCCTTAACCAAACACACTTTCTTCTTTCAAGGTGTGTCCTGGACTACTGAAAAGGGGATTGTAGGGGATGGGATGCCATGCAGCGGACAATCCTGCTGTTGGCACAGGGTTAATCTCAGAGGATGTGATTCCTTCAGAAGAACACCACACATTTATCATCATTCACAGAGCAGACTGTCTGATGCCGATAATGAATCAGCAAATACAGGCAGCAGTTCTGGCGTCTGGCAGCCCTTCTCCTGGGTCAGTCCCCAGCGTGCGTTGACACAACTGAAGCAATTCTTGTTTTGAGTTCCCAGAAAGAGGCAATAAAGTCCAAAGAGTGGGCAGCTTTGCTGGAGCAGGCATAACCATGTGCAGTGATGCCCCAGAGGAAGGAAGCCTGAAGGAGCTCAGCCAAAGGCAGACAAGGGAGAAGTGAGCACTGAGCCACTGACTTTGAGGAAAAGATACAACTACCTATTAATCACCAGCTAGTGGTGGGTTATCCCTGTCTCTGGACCTGAACTTCACTATCAAGCGTGTTAAGGGGAGGCAAAGAGGTGAAGCTGGCCAGTGCTTCCTAGTGGGCCTGGTGTATCAAGGATGCTCGATATATCCTTATTGGGTGAGTGGGTGGTAGGTACCCTGCGTGCTGACCACTGCAGCGGTTACTAGCAGTTAATCACAAAATCACAGACTATCTGAGCCAGAAAATACCTTAAAATGAATCTAGTCTAAGAACTTTATTTTATAAATGAGGAATTGGACACACATAGCAGAAGTGAACTGCCCAGTGTCACAAAGAAATATGGCCAAGTTCCTTCATATGTATCTGTCAGGTTGAAGTTATCCTGAAAATGAGTGCATTGCTCTAGGACCATTTTAATTCCCCTATTTTGGCATCTATATTTTCACCATCAGGGCTCAGTTTTATAAATAAAATCCCTGTGAAACACTGTCCTTGACTCTGCACCTGCAGTGGAGAAAGCTCTCTCTCATACCTGATGCCAGGTGGTCATGGATTATGCCCAGGAGGAACCACGTCTGACTTCTCCTGGGATGCCTTGGGGACTAGAGGTACAAACGCCAAGCCATTCTGAGTTTTCCCAATTCTAATGAGACAAACATACCTATTATATCCAGGCAAACCCAGGTGTTCCTTACCCCACTAGGACCCTAGCGGGGACGGCACCCAAACCTATAGTCTCTGTCCAGAGGCCAAATTACACAAAGTAATGTACAAGTATATGTGAGCCCAAGGAGGCATAACTTCCCTGGTTATTGTGTGTATATTTCAATCCCCACAATTCAGGGCAAACCATAAAAAATAACCAACCCAGTCGAGGCAAGGGACTAGGCTTTCTGGCTCTAAGATATTTCACTTCTTGAGTCAATGAAGAGTGAAATCCGATGAAGGTGTCTTGATGGGATTGCTATTCCCAATGTCAGAGACATTCATCAACTGGGGCGACACAAGTAATTTAGTCCAGGAGGCAGGTCCTGCCAGCCTTCCCTTTGGCCACAGAGCCCTAACTCCATCCCAGCCTGGCTGGTGCTGGGGGCAGCCACACCTCCTACCCTACACACAGCGCGGCACAGAAAATCCCAACCGACAAGATGGAGAGAAGAAAGACAATCAGAAGATCACCGGCACTGCTTACTCTCTTTCGCTCAGTTGCTTGTTCTTGATCCTTTTTTTTTAAGTTTACCAAAATCCCCAGCATGTATGTTTTTGAAGCAGAGTGATGATTCTTAGGTCCAAATCTGGTGATGCGACTCCCATGCTTTCATTCTCCATCTTCTCCCCACCTCCTAGGGCATCGTCTGAACTCCTAGTTTTGCTGTTAAACTGACTGAGCCTGTCTTCACTGGGTCACTGTCTGTCTGCTTCCCACTCCAACCTCCCTGCCACACACACATCCATGTATACACACACATACCTATGCATGCACATACACACATACCCCATGTACACACCCCCCATGCACACTCACCCCTATGCACGTGCATACGCACGTACATCATGCACACACACACACCCCCCATGCACACGCACTGTGCACGCATATGCACACCCATGCACACAATGTGCACACACACACACTGACCACCAATGTCAAATATTTTTTTCTCCAGCCACCCTTGGCTACTTCCCAGAGGCCACCAAAGGGCTCTGCACCCCTGTGCCAACGTGTGAGTTTTTCCCAGATCTGAAACACCTTCATTCCCACCCACGTTTCTCCCCTCCAACCCTCTCTGCCTCATAAGGCCTCCTTCAAGGCTCAGTTCAAAAATCCCCTCCCCCAGGAAGTCTCCGGGGGCCCTTCCACGGGCAGGCAGGCTACACTCTCAGCCCAGCATGGTCCTGTGATCACTTCTGCTCAGGCTCCCCTACTAGTCTCCAAGCAAGCACCTTGATTTGACTGGACCAAACGTTAAGACGCTACTATGATTCAGATAGGACCTGGCATACACCCAAGCTAAAAGCCTTGGAGCCCATCCTGGGCACCTCCCTTCCCTGCCCTCACCACTTCTCCCCATCACTCAGGTCCTACTGATTCTATCTCCAGCCAGCCATATCAGCCCCTTACATGTGCCATGCAAACTCAGGTCTGTATTGACTTGGTAAACGCTTTCTACCTACAGAGCAAATATCTGCCCCTTGTCTAAGCTGCAAATCGACTGCTTTCCATGAAGTTTCTCCTCCCCCTGGGAGCCCTACCCCAAGCAGAATTAACCATGACATTATTTGTCCCAACACACACCTCGTTCAGACCCAACTATGACTGTCACCACAGCACAAAGCAGTTCATTTTGTTTCTATCTTCCTCAATAGACTGTACACTCTTCAAGCGTAGTGACTGCGTCTTAACCATATTTGTGCTCCTGGTGCTTGGAAACATGGTTGACCCTTAACACATGGGTGTGCTCAGTGAAATAAGTGAATTTATTAATTTGGACTTTTAGAACTTTCTCCTTTTATTTCTGGAAATTATTAGCACTAAGCAGAAGACAAAAATTGCATGTTGTTTAAGCAGTAAGAATTCGACCGACTAA